GTTGAGCTATAGGCGCCGAGCCCGGGCTACTTTTTGATTGTAGTCATCATTGTTTTTTGGCAGGCCTGGGCTGGATTCGAACCCGCCAGCTCAGGTGTATATGGCTGGCGCCTTAGCCGCTTGAGCCACAGGCGCCGAGCCAGGTCTGCAACTTTTAACTGGTGTCAGACTCCTGGGAGGGCGCCTCCAAGCAGGCATGGCAGGGTATTCCCTCCCCAGTGGCAAAAAGTAACTCCAGGTCACCTGCCTCACCTGGTCTTCAAGACCAAGGGGAACCCCTTGCCATCTGGGAGCTCTAGAAGCCCTGCCACAGGCAACAGCCTGAACAAAGAAAGCCCCTGCCCCACCAGGCACCCGCCCAAGCCCAAGAGGCAGGAACATGGCTGAGCCTGCCTCAGGCCCACGGTCAGTGTAGCCCATCTGGTTGCCCACATTGGGCCTGAGACAGGTCCCGATATGTGCAGCCATTTAGTAATTTACCCTCCTGCTACAGGGTGAGCTTTCAGCAGCAGAGGTGCCCTGAGAAGACACCACACAGGGCTCTGGATATGGCCACAGCCTAGAGCCACCCACACAAAGTGGCGGCAGGAGCCATCAAAGTCATGTCTGTGAAATTGTGTGAGGTGACATAAATCACAGAGAACCTCACCCAAAGCCTCACCCTAAAGCTGTTTACATCCAGAAATTAGTCATCCAATCAATCAATTTATACATACTGATTGCTTCTTATATGCCCAACAATACATTGGGCACTGCAGGGCCCAGGACAGACATGGCTTGGCCCAGCACTTAATTACACGCTGCATTAGATTGTTACCTAATGCTGTTCATGCACCCTCAAAATATTTATTGAATGCACTCCATGTGCCAGTATGCAAATTTTAAAGACTTAGTTCCTAGCTGAGCACAGTGGCTCACGACTATGATCCCAGCACTCTGGCAGGCCAGAGTGGGTAGATCACTTAAGCTCAGGAGTTCAAGATCAGCCTGAACAAGAGCGAGACCCTATCTCTACTAAAAAGTAGAAAAGGCTCAGCACCTGTGGCTCAAGTGACTAAGGCACCAGCCACATACACCTGAGCTGGAGGGTTCAAATCCAGCCCGGGCCCACCAAACAACAATGACAGCTGCAACCAAAAAATAGCCAGGCATTGTGGCGGATGCCTATAGTCCCACTACTTGGGAGGTGGAGGCGGGAGAATTGCTTGAGCCCAGGAGTTGGAGGTTGCTGTGAGCTATGATGCCATAGCATTCTACCCAGGGTGACAGCTTGAGGCTCTGTCTCAAAAATAAATAAATAAATAAATAAATAAAAATTAAAAGTAGAAAAATTAGCCAGGTGTTGTGGCAGGTGCCTATAGTCCCAGCTACTCAAGAGGCTGAAGCAAGAGGACTGTTAAAGCCCAAGAGTTTGAAGTTGCTGTTAGCTATGATACCACAGCAGTCTAGGCTAGGCAACAGAGTGAGAACAAAAAAGAAAAAAAAGACTTAGTTCCTATCTTAGATATAAATTATGAGAAAGGTGCTCTGGCTATGACCAATTTAGCCTCAGAATGTTCCAAGCTTGAGAGCCTTCTAGGGAGAATGAAATACAATTAGGATTTTGGAGGTGCTAGAGCTGACCTCTGAGGACTGGACTGTGTCTCTGGGGAATTTATCACCACTTAACAGTTCCAGTGCCAGGCAGACCACAACATGGGTGAAAGATAAACACATAAACCCCCAGTCCTCCCAACACCTGTTCTCCTGTTTGGCAAAGGCATAAATGTGATTAAGATGTGCCTCTTCCTCAACACAGGTGCTGGCTGGGAGTGAGCAAAGCTTCTGAGGGGTTAGCAGCCCGCTGGCAAAGGCATGCGCTCCCTTCCTGGCAGGCAGAGGAGGCTGCAACAGGAAGTTGTGCTGTCCTGGTTCAAAGTGAAATAGCAAAATTGAGGCTTAAATGGCACCTTCTTCCAGAGCCTAGCACTAAGGAGCCAGGCAGAGGCAGGAAAGGACAAAGGATTCCAGACTAGGTCTCTCAGATAACACTGAAAGACACCCTAGCCAATTGGCCTGACACCGCTTTCTTCCTCCTTGAGCAGGGCCCCTTTCCTCAGTCCAGAAAACTGGTGCTGAGCCAGCAGCCAGAGAGCAGGAACAGAGCCAGCCAGCTCACCCTCACCCACGTCCTGGCCCCACCCTCCCTCCTTCCCCAGTGAGTCACCACAGCTGGCCGCAGCAGCTCCAGACATGCAAAGGGTCACGCCTCAAACCCATGGATGAAGTGCCTCCTAGGCCAGACCCCCAGGTGCCAGAGGAACCAGGGCTCAATGCAGACAGGAGTCAGCTTCCCTGCCAGCACTTCAGGATCTGAAGACAGGGCTATGTCTCTTAGGACACAGGATCCCAGGACAGGAGTCCCAGGAAGAGAGACCTGCTACATGCCTCACGCTAGGTGGCTTCTGAAGAGGGGAAAAGCCATCAGCCCATGAGAACAGGACCCATGGAACCTCAAGCTGCAGGTTGGCCCTGAAAGGGCACCTGATGACTTCCCAGCCAACCACTCTGCCTGCTCGGGATCAGGCCCCACCATCCTGCATAGACAGGAAAGACTCCTCTCTCATCTGATCTGGGCCACTGAGCTCCAAGCACAGGCATGGGGATACAGAAGGTAGCTGTGAAGCCAGGGTGGCCTGTTTTCTGCATTCAGTCTCAGCCCTTCTCTTCTCTACCCTTGGAGCCTATACCAAACCCAGGTGGTTCTTCCTTCTCCTTCCACACAAGGAAGGGTAGAGGCTCTGCCTGGCTCTTAGTCTAAGGAGAACCTTTGGAGCTTTGAGGAACTCTGCATGATTTAGCCAAGTGTCATATGCTTTCAGAGCCAGAAGGGAACTTAGAGCCATGCCATCCAATATGGTAGCCACATGTGGAAATTTAAATTAATTGGGAAGCACCTGTGGCTCAGTGAGTAGGGCTCCGGCCCCATACACCGTGGGTGGTAGGTTCAAACCCAGCCTCAGCTAAACTATAACAAATAGCTACAGGCAGGCGCCTGTAGTCCCAGCTATTCAGGAGGTTGAGGCAAGAGAATTGCCAAAGCCCAAGAGCAGGAGGTTGCTGTGAGCTGTGACACCACAGCACACTATCAACGGTGACAAAGTGAGACTCTATCTCTAAAAAATCAAACAAATAGGCTCGGCGCCTATGGCTCAAGTGGCTAAGGCGCCAGCCACATACACCTAAGGTGGTGGGTTCGAATCCAACCCAGGGCCGCCAAACAACAATGATGGCTGCAACCAAAAAATAGCCAGGGGTTGTGGAGGGCGCCTGTGGTCTCAGCTACTTGGGAAGCTGAGGCAGGAGACTCGCTTGAGCCCAGGAGTTGGAGGTTGCTGTGAGCTGTGATGCCACAGCACTCTACACAGGTAGACAGCTTGAGGCTCTGTCTCAAAAAATAAATAAATAAATAAATAAATTTAAATTAATTGGCTCGGCACCTATAGCTCAAGTGGCTAAGGCACCAGCCACATGCACCAGAGTTAGCGGGTATGAATCCAGCACAGGCCTGCCAAACAACAATGACAGCTACAACCAAAAATAGGGCATTGTGACGGGCGCATTTAGTCCCAGCTACTTGGGAGGCTGAGGCAAGAGAATTGCTTAAGCCCAGGTGTTGGAGGTTGTTGTGAGCTGTGACGCCACAGTACTCTACCCAGGGCAACAGCTTGAGACACTGTCTTAAATAAATAAATAAATTTAAATTTAATCTTTTTTTTTGAGACAGAGTCTCACTTTGTTGCCCCTGGAAGAGTGCTATGGCATCACAGCTCACAGCAACCTCCAACTCCTGGGCTCAAGCGAGTCTCCTGCCTCCACTTCCCAAGTAGCTGGGATCACAGGTGCCCACCACAATGCCCGGCTATTTTTTTTTTGTTGCAGCCATCATTGTTGTTTGGCGGGTTCAGGCTGGATTCGAACCCACCACCTTAGGTGTATGTGGCTGGCACCTTAACCACTTGAGCCACAGGTGCAGAGCCAACACTTGGCCATTTTTTAAAGACAGGGTCTGGCTTTAGCTCAGGCTACTCTTGAACTTGTGAGCTCAGATTATCTGCCCACTTCAGCCTCCCAAAGTGCTGGGATTACAGGCGTGAGTCACCATGCCTGG